AACCGAACGCGCAGAGGTTTAAAAAGCGGCCGAGAGCGCGAGGAAGCGACGATCGGGCAAGCCCTATCGTGAGTTGTTGATTGGCAGACTTAACTAAACTTTTAGCCCGTTTGCCCTTTTGAGTCTCCTTCATTGTTCCTTTCGACCAGCAAACTGTTGTGTTTTTTTTTTGGCATGGGACCTAAGTCAGGCCACGTGCTTTGCACAAGTTACAGCAACCTCACAAAGCGAAGTGCGACCGATGTCACCCATGATGCAGGCTCCTTGTAGGCGCCCCTTGCTAAAAGTCCGATTGTTGGTGCAGAATGCTGGCCCCTGATTGCGATGGCGTGTTTGCCCCAACAGTGAGGGATCTGCTGTACACCCAAACGGTTGGGGGCTTGCCAACCCCGAGTCCCCATTATTTCTGACATGGTTGGTTAACGAAGACGCTTGATGTTCATGTTAGTTCTGGATGCTTGCCAGGCAGTTCCAAAGAGGAAGCAAGTGATTTGCCTACTTCAGTATTCGTGATGACCAGATGCTTTCAGAGGACTGTGCTAGCTGCACGGTGTCTCAAGACTAAGTTGCATGATTCCAGACAGGGACTGTGCTCAGGGCTCGGGGCTCAGGGAGGTTGGGGGAGGCTGGCATCCTGCTAGAATTTGAAGCTTCAGCTCTTTTGGGAAGCCTTTCTAGGTCGCCCAGTAGTGCCTCAGAAAAAGTTGGTACCCTTCTTCTAACCTCTCTACTGGAGGACCTAGCCTTTGCATTGGATGCGCTTGATTCCAGGTGTTCGAATCGAAGCCACTCCCAAAAGTGCAGGGCCTGGTTAGCAATGATCCATCCCAATTCTTTGGCAAAAACCGCTGGACCATGAAGCCGCTTGTGTCCCGAGCACCATGTCGCGTGTTTGCCGGTGGCCCGCGTTTTTTTTCCGTGTTTCTTTGGTGGGCTCTCCGCCAACAATGTTCAACTCCTTTTTGTCAATCAGCGTCATTGGGGAATTCGGATGTGAAGCAAGGGCTGTCGAACCATAGCCCTCAGAGTCTGCCTTTCAGAGATAAGCTGCTGCCCCAGTTTCGGATATGTCCCAAGACCCCCTCTTGAAAGCTGGGTCATTGATGTGGTGAAATATTGCAGAAGGGCTGTCAGTAGGCCTGGTCAGAACTTGCCTTTGAGAGAGAAGCTGCTAATTTTCGGACATGTCCCAAACTGACAGATCCCCTCTTCGAAGGCAAGTCAAGCATTCGGAGGGTTCCTCATTTTTGACCACGCCGGACAAATCCAGGTTGTCCCTCTCCCCCCCTTCCCTTCCCACCCCCCCTTCCCCCTTCCCCCCTCCCCCCTTCCAACCCCCCCTCCCCCCTTCCCACCCCAAGCCTTTGGGGGGGGGGGGGTGTCCGGCCGGAGGCTTCTGCAGAGCCCCTGCCGCGGCAATGTGGTCCGGCACGAGGAGTGGCGGCAGTGGCGGCAGTGGCGGCAGTGGCGATGCCCGCAGAATTTTCCCGCGACGAAGGGTTCAGAGCACATAGGGTTCTTTGGCGAAACATAACGACCTCACACGACCGAATTCACCCCAAATGGCGGTTTATGTGGGGAATAGCCCCCCAGACGCCTTTTTCGGGTTGGTGAAAATATTATATTTCATCCAGATAGGTGTCATAGGTTTCTTTGGTGCATGTTGCTTGGATGTTGGGACGTTAATTTGTTGCCAACGGAGTAATTTCCCACTAAACCACTAAAAGTTAAAGTTGTAGCAGGGGAGCAGATGTCGCAACCGAGGTTTGTTGGCCTCAGCTACATGTGTTGTACCCGAGGCCATGCGTTAGGGTTCGGCCTCTGAACGTTTTGACTTGTTGACGGCCAACAACCTGAAGTGTACCTGAATGCAGGGGTCAACGGCCAAGCCAATATTTAGACAGATGCAGATTTGAGTCACATAGGAGGCAACAACTTGTGCAAGAGCTGCATGTGTTCCGCGAGACGTGCTGAGCGCCTAGCGAAAGGGGTTCGCAGTTGTGCGTAGGCTTTTTGGGATGAACACGTGGCACCGCTCAAGCCGTACCAACTACGGCTTCTTTTCTGTTGCGGGCGGTCTTGCCCCCTGCTGCCCTTCAACTGCAGGGTTCCCTATGCTTCTCTCACTGGGTGGTTGAAACATCGCCCTTTCCTAAACCCTAAACCCTAAACCACTTCAAAGTGAGTCTCCTTGTGGGCTGCTCAAAGGCAAATTGTAGGGAGCCCTGAGCTATGGAACGAACCCCCAAAGACGGGGATAGGAGTATGTTTGCGAGGACGGGCGCTTCACTGTAGAAATCCACAAGTACTCCTACGAGGCCTTGCCCGGCCTGTCTTGCAGCCAGCCCATTCCTTTGCTGTGCCTCCTTGGGCACTCAACCAACCTTTCCGCAGGGGTCTAGGCCTGTAGTTTGTTTTCCTTGGGCGAGGCTCCCCCTCAATCCACCAGGCCAAAAAAGTCCCCCTTTTCCCACTGTCTGTTTCCAACCATGTGGAATCCAGGCACTTTTGGAAAGGATTAACACGTAGTAAGTTTTGGGTGAATCCACAAGTGAGGCTTCAAGCCTTTCATTCTTTTTGGGGATATGTCGCTTTGAGCTCTACTGCTTTCCACAAGTGAGCTTGATCTAGGAATCACTTGCTGTAACTTTGTGCTCTTTGCATTACGCTATTCTTAGTTTATTACATTGCATTGTTTCTTGCTAAGCCTCGATTCAAACCTGCACTTCAACGATGTGTATCTAGCATTATACGTTTGCACGGTTCCATGTTTGTCTTTGGCTAATATATACATATATATGTATATATTCCTTTCTGAACATGTGATTGAAAAAGAGATTCATGGCGTTACGTCTGTGCATTGCGATTGTTTGTCTCTCTGTTTGTGGCATCCTTTCTGTACATTTGCACTTGCTTCATTTCTCTTGCTCAGCCTTTGAACAAATGCCTTGACCTTTTGTCTCAAACAGTATCTGCAAATGCTCAGGGCACAAAGCTCTGTTTCACATACCAGGTGTGACTTGTAATACTGTTTGGTAAGTTGTAAAGAGAAGTTGTGGCCAGGAGTGCCTAGGCCACGGAAAAAGAGGAAGCATATTGCTCAGGCAGAATCATATGTGCAAACACTGAAATAGGCAAACTTGACGGCAGTCCAGCCGCCCAAAACATCGCACTCGGTAAAAGGGACTTTTGCTGCTGGAGTTGTTTAGGTCGGTAAAGACAGGCTGGTTGGTGTAGGCTAGCATGCAGAAGTGATTACACCTAGCCCAATGAAAGCACCATGTGTTTTTATGTATATGTGTATATATATATATATATGTATGGATAGATATTATACATACATATATATATATATATGTATGTGCTCAAGGCTGGGCATCACACGCGCTCCTACATACGTAGATTTTCATTTGCTGTATGCAACGTTTGTTGCACCAAACACTGTGTTTTGCATGCACAGCTACAGGCTCCTTGGCGGCCCGCTCTGGTGAAAACACCTTTCTCCGAAGCCGGGGCTTGTGGGACGAGAACAGTTGTTGGGCTGTGATATCCACGGGGCTCCCCAAAAGCTGTTTAAAAAGTCTCTTGTTGAGCCCATTCAAAGTGAGGTTCTTCTAAATTTGGCGGAGTTTCCCCATGTTGGTTGGTCATCCTCTTTACTTGCCACGGGATTTTTTGTCATTTCTACGGCTGTTTTGTGGGGTGAAGAGGGGCTCCCTGCTATGACTCCGGCTGACGGCTTCGTACGGCGTAGGCCATGTTGGCCTATGGGCGGTACCTCCATGAGGACCAGGTCTTGTGCAGGCGACTTTG